AGGCTGTGCATTTTCTTTTCAGCCAACATCACCTATATTCACTGAATGAGAAAAAGAATTTAGCAATTTGCAAAAGAACACATATTTGTTATTTGAACCCAGGATCATCCAACTCTAAAACCCACGCTATTCACTAATGCATTACACTGCTTCTATTAATCAGAAACGTGAACAGCGTGTCCGAGAATCAGGGAAAAGGCACAATGATGTACATTATGAGTTAAACGGATCACTAGTAAGTGGTAGGGAAAACAACTTGGTGGGTCCAGTGGAGCTGCCTGTGACCTCCCAACGGTCTTCCGGGACCGTTCTTGTTTCCCGAGGTTTAGAATTGGCAGACACTGGCTCTAGGGTACACAGCTGAGAGCCCTGGTCTTTCCACCCTCGCTCAGAGGGCGGCCTGAGGCTCGAGACCGAGGTCCAGGAAGATACCTTTCAGCCCACGCCTGCAAAAGCAGGTCCGAGACATCGGAGCTGTCATAGAATGGAGGCTGACACCGCGAACCCTGACGCAGACGCCAGGGCCGGACCAGGAGCGACCCCCCTCCCCCTCGCCTCCCGCAAACCCCTCGCGTACCGTGCTAGCCTCTTGGTCGCCATTCCCGACACTCCTCTTTCGTCAAAGCCCAACTTCCGGAAGTTGCTCTACGCCCACTTCCGGCGCGTTCAAACGGCCGGCGCGGCTGAGGCGGCGGCAGCTGCGGAGGCGGTGGCTGAGGCGGCGGGAGTCTGTGCTCTGCGCCTGGCTTCTTTTCGGCGTTTTCGGGGGTGGGGAAAGTGAGGAGTGCGTTTTGCCAGAGAAGCCGCTAGACAGCGCCCCTCTTCCTTTTTTCCAAGGGGCGGAGGGGAGTTCGCGCCGTTGGGAACCGTTGGAGTCCGGCCTTCGGCCTCCGGCGTGGACTGAAGAGCCGTTTGGCTCGGCTCGGCGCGGCGTGGCTTCCTCGTAACGGGGAAGACCGTTCGCACCCTCGCTTTCCGAGGCGGGCGGGGAGCTCTGTAAACCGAACTGAGGAGAGAATCTGAGGAAGGTTGTAGGCTGTGGTAGCCCTTGCTGCTCCCCGCTCAGGAGGCGGCCCGGGGCCATCAGGGCGTCGGGGTTTTCTCAGCTCTCACTGGTCTTTCTCCACAGCCTCATGGAGCCAGAGAGGGAAAGGAGCGGGAGGACCCCCAAGAAGGGCCGGAAGAGGAGGCCGGTCCCGAACAAGGTGGTCGGGTCGGCTGAGGCGAAGAGAGCCGGTTGGGATCTTGAGGGGCGGCAGCCTGAGGCCAAGGTGAGCAACGGGGAGCCTGAGTGGGCGGCCCGAGGCAGTTTGGAGCTCCCAAATGATAATATAATACCACCTACACCTTAGGGCTGATGTCGGCTGTTTAAAAGCGGTGTAGTGCCTGGCACACAAGACGACTGTTCTTTCGACAAATACTCATTGAGGTCTTCTGTGTGCCAGGAACTGTACAAGGTTCAGGAGATACCCCGGTGCCCCAAAGCGCAGAATTCCCAGCCCGCGTGCGGTTTACATTCCAGCAGGGGAGTAGTAAGGCTGATGATCGTCCCTGTCATTTATTGAGAGTTAAATATATGCCATTCATCCCTTTAGTCATCAGATTCTGTTGTCTTCCATGTGCTGGTCACTGTCCTAGGTACTTGGGGTACATCAGTGAATAAAGGATTTCTACTTCCCTTTCTAGTGGAGAGAGACAGAAGATAAACAATAGATATGAGAAATAAGTTATGTAGTATTTTAGACGGGAATTAGTGCAGTGAAACATTTTTTATTAAAATGAGATTTTGGGGGAGGGGAGGCTATCAGGTTGACAAAACAATTTTTTAAAGGTTAACGTGGTTTAAAAAAAAAAGGAAGTGACAGTCTCATCACTTTTTTATTTTGAAACACTCTCAAACTTAAAAGTTGCAAGAATAGTACCAAAAACTAGCCCCCAGCCAACATTTGAAAGTACTGTAGTTGCTAACACAATGCCCCCCACCCAGTATTTTACTGTTACATATGTGCTGCAATCTACATAACCACAATGCAACCATCAAAATCAGGAAATAACGTGGATATTTTGCTACCATCTAATTCTCAGACCCCATGTAAGCTTCTCCAGTTGTTTCAGTAATGTCTTTTTTAGCTGTAAGATCCAGCGTAGGATCATGTGTCATATTTAGTTGTCACGTCTCCTTCAATCCAAACAATTATTCAATCTTTTCTTTGACATTCACGACCTTACTACTTTTGAAGAATCCTGGAACAGTTATTTTGTAGACTATCCCTCAAGTTAGGTTTGTCTGTTTTTCATTTATTAGATTCAGGTTATACATTTTTGGCAGGAATATCACAGAAGTGATACTCTGTTCTCTTGTATTTTATCAGGTTGTACCCTGATTTGATTTGTCCCATTACTGGTGATATTAACCTTTATTGCTTGAGGTACCGTGTGCTAAACTTCTCTGAAGTTATTCTTTTTCTCTGGAATTTTGTTGGGAGATGCTTCCTCATTAAATTTGCAATTTATTTTTTTTATTAGTATGAATTAGGGGATACCTATTCAGTTGGTTATAATCCATTTCTATATTTTGCTCTTCAGAATATCCCAGATTAAGCCATTAAGTTAGCTTCTGTGTCCTTTTGACATGACCTCATCATTCTTTGAGCATTTCCTTATTTTTCTGGCACAAAAAGATGTTGTTCCAGGCTTTTCTGTGCTTTCCCTGCCCCAGCCTGTGATCAGCCATTTCTTCTAGGAGACTTGTTTTTCTAGTGGAGAATGACATTTAAAAATTGAAGATCTGGGTGCTAGATATGCTTATTGCTATTGGGTGTCTGTAATTTAAAAAGAAAGCTAGGAAATACATGTGTATATATGTACACACATATACACAAACACGTGCTTATGTTTACATTTAGGTTTTTTTTATCTGTACATACTGAAAAACCATGAATTCATACCAGTATCTACTTCCAGTCTAATTCCACAGGGTTCACCCTCATTTTCTCTCTTGTCATATTTATAACTTCCCTATATAACTGAGAAACCTGATTCCCCATTATTGTTAATGTATTTTATCAGTCCCCCATTGCTTCCATTGCCACACATCTTCACACCTCCTCACCCTGCTTGGGCTCTTGTCACTGCATCTTGTACCAGGTCAATTTCCTGTGAGAATGCCTTTGTTGCTACTGCAACAAGCTACTACCATCATCCTCCCATGGACATCCTCACCCTGTTCGGGCTCTGAATTCTGTGACACCACTCTTGTCCTTCATCAGTGATGCCTTCCTTACTCTAAACATTTTCTGACATCTGATGCCAGGCCTCACTGCTCCAGTTGCTACTGCATGGATGGATGCCCTCCTCATATCACTCAAGCTTTGACACCTCACATTGCGGAACCTTCCTGTATGTATGTCCTAGGTTCTTACCCCTAGTCCTGGATTGTCTTCCCTATGGGATACCCTCCTCACCCTACTCATACTCTGACATCCTATGTTCGATGACCACGATTACTCATTACCATATAGACTCAATCATTATCAATCTCATTTTTAAAAAAAATAAAAATTGGTGTATTTTTAAAGGAGTTAGGAATATGGTCAGAATGTAAAACATGCATGCTTATTTTAACCAGAAATTTATCCTGAGAAAATAGATATGGGAGGATGTCTATACACAGGTGCTTATCATAATATTATACAAAGGTGCTTATCATATGTTTATAATTTTTAAAAAGCAGATGTGTCATCAATAAGTCATTTTTTTCATATAGATTATGTTTTTAGGTAAATTTAAGAGAATGGACTATTAAAATTGATGTTACAGTTAACGGATATGGAAAGATATTTACAGATTTTTAAAATTTTGGTGGAGGGAGTTAGTTACAAAACAATGTATACTATAATCCCTTGGGGGCAATATAATACAATGATGAAAAGAGTTTGGGCTTTTGAGCCTTCATTCTAGTCTAGGTTCTGCCACTTACCTGTTTCTCCATTTCTTTATCTGTAAAATGGGGATAACAGTAGTGCCTGCTTAAGAAGACTTGTAAGAATTAAATGATTTAGTAGGTGTGAAGTGCTCAGAACTGTAAATGGCTAATAAGCAGTGTTGAACATTAGCTTTAAAAAGCCACAGGGAAAAATGGCAATAATTATAATAATATCTGGTGTTTATTAAATACTTATGGTATGTCAGGCACGACTAGTCTCGTATATTGCGCTTGCAGTACCTCATTGGTCTTCCCAATAATTGCATGAGGTAGAATTATAATTATTCTGTAAATGAAGAAACCTTTGTTTTAGGTTAAGGCACTTGTTCCTAACTTCTTAATATCTTAAGGCATTTAAGATGGTAGAGCTTGGTATTTGAACTCAGGTAGTGTGATTCCAGGCCTTGAACTCCTACAGTATTACTCTGCTGCCTCCCAGACCGAAATGAAAGTGGTAATTATCTGACATGTGACTCACTTTCACTTACCATCTGTCTTTTGTCTGTTTTACCCTCCTCTTTTAAAACAATCATGAATTACTTTAATAACTAGATATAGGGGAAAGCTATTTTAAGGAGAGGATTAAAGTCTGACTCCTTATCTTAGACCACATTGATCTGTCTTGATCTGGCTCCCATTTCTCTCTCCTCTCATATCTCTGCTGCTCTGCAACGTGCAGTGTTGGCTCTAGCCAAACCAAACTACGTGTTTAGACACAGTGTTCCCTCCTACCCAGCTGATTCATGATTTTCAAGGTTCAGCCCTAGTATTTTCATCTCAATGATGCTGTCTCCAAAACTCTCCAACCCCCAAGGCAATTAGCCTCTTTGCTCCTATATCTTTATAGTAGCATTCACGTTTTATTGGAATTACCTGTTTCTGCATTTTTGCCATAGTAGAATGGACTCCTTGAGAGTATGAGTCATGTTTTATTTATCTTACTATCCCTAGCACATAGCCAAGTATCTGTAATTAAGGTTCTGTATCAATATTTATTAAATATCCTATTAATAAGATCATACCACAGGTTGTTGTTTTAAACCTTCGTTCCCAATTAATTAGAACCCTCCTTATGTCTAGATACATGCTAAAATTATCAGAAACTGGAATATTTTAAAAATTTGCCTTGTTTTGTTTCTATTCTTTATGCTCATAATTTGTTATGCTCTGATTTATCTTTGCAGAAAGCCCGCTTATCTACCATTTTATTTGCTGAAAACTATGAAGTAACCCATGACCAGCTATGTGATTTGCTGAAGTATGCAGTTCTGGGCAAATCCAGTGTTCCTAAACCCAGGTATGAGATGAACATAAATGGTGGGTATAGACTTGAAGTTTCAAACTGGTGTCTGAAGGATCACATCTGCCTGACATTATGTGCCGCACAGACTATCCTAAACATTTTTTTTTACGGTAGTTGCCAACAATTTAAATTGGAAATCTCTGTATAAAAATCCAAATTTTTTACTTCTTCAAAAAAACTCAAAGATCTGGCAGCTGTCCTTATATTTCCACATGACAAAAATTTATCGAAGCTGAATAGTGGCCTCCCCCTTTGGATGTACACTTCAATGTTCCACCTGGCCTGCACCTGTTATTTACAGTCTCTGTCTGGCCACTTTAGGTATTTTGACTTGTAACCCCCAGTGGAGACCTGATTGGAATAACATGATCAAATGTTAAGAATCTCGATCTTTTTTCTCCTTTTACAAATCAAGAGCAAAGAGAATTTTCCTATTCTGGTATCCTCAGTGCCATTATAAAATGTCTAATGAAAATTGTGTTTATTTATGTAATACACACTAGAGAGATTTTCGAATGTACACTTCTGTCTAGGGGGAGGTTGACTAGGTACATCAGAAGCCATCTTCTGCATTAACAGATACTGCCATTATTCTGTCAGTTTATCTAAAACTAGCTTTCTTATAGCCAGTCATGTGGTCACTGGCTTACGAAGGACTATAGAGCAGAGTGGGATCTTGAAGATACACCTTTGTAAACTGAGTTTGTTCCAATGTAAAACAAATCTTAATAGAATTTCAGATTTCGCATTCTGTTTCACTTGGTATTGTATGTAATTTGAATGGAATAAATTATCTCAAGAGATCTTTATGTGAATTCTGTGCAATAATAGCTGTTCTCCATTTCCAGGCAATCAGTGGGTGATGATAAACTCCAATAGCTGTTGCTCACTGCTTTCTTCACACCCCTTATGTATGCCTGTAACTGACTTGATGGTATCACTCTTAGCTGTGTTGGTTTATTTTTCAACAGCTGGTGCCAGCTTTTTCACCAGAATCATCTGAACAACGTGGTGATTTTTGTACTGCAGGGAATGAGTCAGCTACACTTTTACAGGTTTTATTTGGAGTTTGGATTTTTCCGAAAGATATTCAGACATGTAAGTTAAGAAAACTTTGTATTAGAACCTGACTCAGGTCTTCCCATCTAGAGACCAGTGCACATGTCTCAAACCGTGCTTCTTGGCAACCTGATTGAACAAGCAATAGATGTTGTAGAAAGCAAAAAAAGACTAAGACTGAGACCTTGTGTTGAGATTAGAATTAGATTTGTCTCTGATTTTTCTTTAGTAATCTCGGCAAAACACTTATTCCCGGATTGCAATCTGTAGTTCCCAGATCATAGTTGATATTGTCCCGTTTTATCTGGGCTATGGTGTTTAAAAAAATATAAAATGTATGGGGGGCGGGTATAGCTCAGTGATATACTGCGTGACTAACATGCACAAGGTCCTGGGTTCAATCACCAGTACCTCTGTTTAAATAAATAGATAAATAGATACCTCTCTCCTCCCCCCAAAATTGTAAAATTTACATAAAATATTTTTTTGGGGGCCTCTTGACAACATTACAAGATTAAGTTCCTTCAAAACAACAGCACCTGGAGCTGAATAGAAGCTGTCTTCTTTAGAAGAGGCATGCTCTCTCCATTGTCCCATAGCCTCCTCCATTTATCGCACTGTTTCATCTATTTACCACTGAGAGCATTTGAATTGGTGAGCTCTAACTTAATCTCCTTGGGTCTTCATTTTCTTTTTTGCTTTCTTTTATTGAACACTATGTGCTAGGCCCTATTATTAATCATGCTGCATACATCATCTCTAATTCTCACAGTAGTCCTATAAGAGAGAGAATTTTTAATTCCCATTTTATACAGAAGGAAACTGAGTAACTTGCCCAAGTTACATCTAGTAAGTGGTAGAGCTGGAATTTAAGCCCAGGTGAGCCTGAGGCTTTAACTCTCAACCTCTTTGCTTTGCTGTCTTCTACTTGGCATGTTATCCACTGAAGTAATAGATATGAAAGTGCTTTGAAAAATATAAGGGGCTTTGCTTTTCTAAGTTACACATTTTTGTAATGTTTATTTCTTTTCTACAATGTGTAATCAGAGAAGCAAAGAAAATCTCTGGGGTGGGATAGATGTGGCTTCACTTACCTAGTCACTTTTATGCATTAAGGAAAGAGTCCTCATTTTATACTGCAAACAGTTAAGGTCCAGACCTTTCATAGCTTTGGGCTGACAGTAAAAGCCTAGGTCTTTGACAGTATTTTAACTGCTTTCAAGCATTTTTGTAAAAACCTGTTAATGTATTTTCAGAAATTCCGCTTGCCTCCTCCATCATCTGATTTTCTAGCTGATATCATTGGGCTGCATAAGAAACAAACAACTGGGGATCTGTCCAGAGCAATGGAAGGTATGGCTGTGACTCTGGTTTGATGTTTTCTTGTTCTAAAAGATACTATGTGTACACTTAAAAGTAGTTTAATTAGTCAGGTTTATTCTTGCAAGCAACAAAACTCAATTTTAAGTAACTTAAGCAGAAAAGCAATTTTTAAAGAAAAAGGTAAGAACCAAGAGAGATTAGACCGCAGGAAACATAGCCAAGGTTAATGCCTCAAAAACCATTTGATTAGGTTAGATAGCAAAGTCTGCCCCCCTGGATATCACTGACATCGGACTCTTAGAAATTACTGTGAATAATTTTTAAACTGTCATTGGGTCGTTGTACCTGCAAGTGTACCGATGGGAAGGAAGATCCTGCCTTTGACTAATGTAGGGGGCATTCACTAATACTACTTACAGTGGGGAATAGGCAGGAGGTTTGGATGCTGGCCAGCTAAAATATAAATATCCATGATAGCAGTGTTTTTCAAACTGGGGGTTGTGTCCCCTTAGCTAGGTTTAGCTAACCTGTTTTGAGGAGGCAAAGAGGTGAGTGATGGAATAGAACAGAAATTAATCAGAGTTCATTGTACATAGTAAGGTATTATTGTTCAATAATGCTTTTGTGTGTGTTCAGAAGTAATTAAATTATTGAATAGTTGCACTAAGGAGATATGGAAAAGTGGTGAGGAGTAACCAGTGATTCCTTTCCACCTCCTTCAGGACTGTTTCCTATTAACTTCTATCTCAAAGGCATCTAACTTTCTACCTTTCCATCGTTCCCCTCTCCTTCTAATAGATGTCCATGTCTGACCTGCAGCTTTAATTTGACCTCCACTTTATTTTGAACATGTTTGAGTGAATCACAGAGTACCCATGAGATTCAAATCTCATGTAAAGATACCAAGTTGTAAAAGAAATACTGTAATCAGGAAAAAGAAACTGATACGGCTGAAGAATATAGATTGTTGGGGGTTATTGATGGGTTGGAGATGACATAGGAGGTAGTGATAAGAGAGGAAGCTGAGAGGTAGGTTAAAGCTTTGTCCTGTGGGCTGTAAATGCCATGCTAAGCACTTTGGGTTTTATTCTGTAAGCACTGAGGAGCTAAAGGGTTATAGCTACTTCTCTGTCCTCTTAAGGATTTTGCTTCAGAGTCCTCAATGCATAGTCCATAGCACTTTGATTTTCCTTCAGTTCAGTCTTTCCTTTGAAATACGGATCTGTTCTCAAGTTTACCTATTATTCTTCTGTGGATAAGTCCTCTATCTTTATAGTTTGATGTTCCAGTTTCCAGGCTTGGATTTTCAACTGCCTGTTGGATGTTACTTGGATACTCCACTGTACTCTGAATCATAACATATCTAAAAGCATTTTTCTCTCACCCCTGAATAGCAGGCTCCCATCTTCAGATCCCATTTTTATTGGTGCCATTTTTCTCTAAGACTTAAGTCTTGAATTTAGAATTACTTTTCTTTTGGCTTCCCATATACTGTCTTCACAGGTCATTCCCTTTGCTCTCATGGATCTCTATTCAAATGTTACTTTATTAGAGCATAAAATACATGACATTAGCATTTTTCCTGCCCCAGCACTCTCTTTCCTCCTTTTTGTCCTTTACTTTTCTCCATAGTACTTATCCTCACCTGATGTATTATATATTTGTTTATTGTCCATTTGTTTATTATCCCTCTTCCTGGATAGAATTTAAGAGAACTTTGTTGATTTTGTTCATTGGGGAAATCTGTTGGCTAGGACAGCAATGCCAGGCATACAATAAGTACTCAGTAAATATTTTGTTGACTGAACTGAATTATTCTGTCACTATGTTCTACCAGTTTTTCTTGTGTGGTGTTTCTTTCATGCGTTCTTTTCCTTCATCCCTTCCACCATCTTAATCCAGATTGTTTGTTTTGTATTTTTTGCCAAAAATACTGCAAAGCCATTTTTCATTTTTGTCTTTCTACTTCATTTTCCACAGATCTTTGAGGTTGATCTTTATTAAAATATTGTTTGATTATGCCACTTCCCTTCTTAGGAACTTTCTGTTGCCCTACATTACGTATGGAATGAGGGACTTAAGTCCAAACTCTTGAGCCCGGCATTTGCAGTGGTCTACAATACTCCATTATTCTATCTCAGCCTTATTTCCTATACTGCTCTTCTATACAGACCTTTTTTCCTCCCCAGACTGGTCTAGTCACTACCATACCATGTTTGCTTTGTTCATTTCTGTCCTACTGGAATGCCCTCTTTCCTACTTCTGATACTTCAGTCCTTTTGGTTGCAAGGACCTAATACTCATTTAGGCCACCTCAAGTGAGAGGTTATTATTTCAAGGATGCATGTGGACAAAAGCCATCAAGGATCGAAGTGCCTCTGGTGAAGAGCTGTTCTCTGTCCCTTTCATGGCATCTTAGCTTCTTTGTTTTCTGCTCTAACTGATGAGTTCTCTGTTTCCTAGTTCAATTCTGGAAGCAAGCAACTTAATCATCTTAGCTAATTACCTATGTCTCTCTTGAATATGTCTTGATGAGGAATGTCAAGTCACTAGTCAGTTTATAGATAGATCCCTTGTTAGCCGGGTGTCCATTCTTAATCTGGTCAGTGACCACCCTGTTTAAAGAACCAACAGGTGCTTGAGCAGGTGGTTAGGGGTGGAGTAGGTTTAGTTATAATGGGCTGTTAGGAGTGGCAGACACTAACGGACTGTTCTAATATAACAACTCTCTGAATTCTGCCTTTTCTTTAAGACTCAGCTTATCTTTTCCTCTCTTGAACCATCTCTGACCATCTGAGCCAGTGTATTCTTCCTTTCCCTTTTATACCTTCTATTATTATAACCCACTTTAGACTTATCTTCTCTTTATGTTCCTGTAAGTGTATTAGAGTACAAGCTCCTTAAAAGTTGGGGCACTGGGTCTTATAAGTCTTTTGATCTTCACTGTGCTTACCCTATACAGCATTAAAAGACATGTCCTTGGAGATGTCTTAAACACACATTCTAACATACATTTGGTTGTTCTTGTTTCAGAGTCTTTACCTTCTGCCAGCCCAAAAGTCAGCAGCAACCTACAGAATGACCCCATCATTCAAAAGTACGGCTCTAAGAAAGTGGGCTTGACCAGATGCCTTCTTACAAAAGAGGAAATGAAAACATACCACTTTCCATTACAAGGTTGGTTTAGATTTAATCTGATGTTGGTAACAATGGAAGAGTATCAATTTAAAAAGAAATACTACTGTTGAAAGTTTATTTTTATGGGCTGCTTTCCAAGTGACTTATTCCATCTTCTGTTAATGAGGAAATGCTTTAAGCGCAATTGTTTCCTAAAGTGTTGAGTGTGTACCTGATTGATTTTAGGTAGTATATGAACAAGACCTTAAATAGCATTGAAATATTTTGTGGGAAACTTATTCCTTTTTCATTTTTCCTTCAGTCCTTCTTAGAACATTAAGAAGAATGTTTTTTTAACACTTCTCTAGTACTTCTAATCTTTCAACCACCCCACCTCCTATTTTCTTTAATAAATATGACAGATCTAGGCTCAGAGCTTCGGTCAATTATGTAGCAAGAATTTAATAAAAATGCTTTTTCTCTTTTATTTATTACCTCTTAATCACAGTAGTAATTAAGTTAAAATTGCTTAAAAAAATACCTATTGAGATATAGTTAACCTACTATATAGTTCACTCGTTTAAAGTATACAATTCAGTATGTTTACAGAGTTTTACAACCATCACCACAACCAATTTAGGACACTTTCATCACCACAAAAGAAATCAACGCCCTTTAGTCTAGGAAATCAGCAGTTACTTTCTGTTAATAGATGTACCTATTGTGGATATAAATGGAATTATACAATATGTGTTCTTTTATAACTGGCTTAGCATAAAGCTTTCAAGGTTCATGCATGTTGTAGCATGTATCATTACTTCATTTACTTTGATTCTAATGATAATCTGTGTATGGATATACAACATTAATCCATTCATCAGTTGATGACATTTGGGTTGTTTCTATTTTTTGCTATTAGTAATAATGCTGCTGTGAACATTCAGATACAAATTTTTGTGTGGACATGTATTTTTATTTTTCTTGGGTATATATCTAGGAGTAGATCATATGGTAGCTCTATGTTTAACCTTTTAAGGGAAATACCAGACTGTTTTACAAAGCAAGTGTACCATTTTACATACCCTCCAGCAATGTAAAAGGGTTCCAATTTCTGCACATCCTTACCAACACTTGCCATGTTCTGTCTTTTTGATTATACCCTTTGTAGTGTGTATGAAATAGTATCTCATTGTGATTTTGGTTTTGCATTTCTCTGATGGCTGATGATGCTGACCGTCTTTTTATATGCTTACTGGTCATTCATATATCTTTTTCAGATCCTTTGTCCATTTTTTAATTGGGCTTTTTTAAATTGAGTTATTGGAGTTCTTTTTATATTCTGACATAAATTTCCTTTCAAAGTAGATTTATTTAAGTGAAAAAGCTATCTGTAAAATGGAATTAATAGTTCATATGTCATAGGATTGCCATGAGGATTAACTGAGTTAATATACAAAAAGAGCTTGCCATGGGGCACATAGTGCTTTAAAAAGTTAAGTCTTTTTGTTACTATTGCTACTAGTAATATAGATAGGGAGGGCAGCAAGCATAATGTCTCCCAGATTTGAGGATACTGCTTTTCTGGTCTATATTGTATTTTGATTCTTTTCATTGTAACCAGTTGGAAATTTCAGGGTACTGTGACATAGAGACTCGTCAAAGCTTTTCATACTCCCCTAATTTCTTGTCAAACAAGATCTAGGCATTACCTTTACTGTTTCAACCTCTAAAGGTAGAACTCTTCAATCATTCAGACACTTTTGGGCCTCTAAGCTGAATGTGACTGGTTATTGACTTAGGGTATACAATGGAGGGGCCCCCTGTACCCTAAACCTAGATCTTAGCCTCTGTAGGGAATTTTCAGGTTATGATTCCAGAAAATGAGGCACATTATTAAACAGAGATCTCAGAGGAATTTTAAGGGTGGTGCTGGGTGCAAGTGTGTGTGTGGTGAATGTTAGTTAAAAATTCTGCCTACAGTGGAATCCTTTTAGATCTCTTCTATGGTGGAATCTCATTCCTACTTTTTCTTGTTTTGGGAAAAAAGATGCCACATGCAGTCATTTGCATACTTTATTTAATCCTCCCTTAATGCCTGTATGGAAAGGGTCCAGTGACTTTGGATTTAGTGATAATTTAGTTATTTATTTTCTAATGAGGGAAAAATTGTTACTTGTTAACTGCAAGGGAGTCTAGGCCCTAGTATCTCTAATAATAGCAACCTACATTATTCTCCCAGAATATAAAATTGAGTAGATGGAGAAAAAAACTGAGGACAAAAATTCTTTTATTTAATCTTTTTATTTCAAGTATCTAACATAGAGAAGGTGCCCAGCAAATGTGGTATTTCGGTTTTCCATGGATAAATCTAGAGGTGCTGTTTACTGTTTCTAAAGGCAAATATTTCATTCCTTTTCCTCCTAGGTTTTCCTGATTGTGAAAACTTTGTACCTACCAAATGTAATGGTTCTATAACAGACAACAGTCCTCTCTTTGGGCTTGACTGTGAAATGGTAAGTACTACTCTTAATTTTTCAGCTGGGGTGTCGCAAACTAGGGTCTAGTTTTCTTGAGTGCACTCAATTTCAGTATTTAAATGACTGAAAGTAGACCCTTTTACTCACATTTTAGAAAATTTGGATCTTTGCTTCAGGATGAAGATTAAATATCACATAAATTTTCTAACTAGTTGATATGTTTAATCTAATTTTTAAACATTACCAGAAGTTTATTCCTTCTCTTTTGAACAAGTGTTTTGTTGTTGTTGCCTTGAAGACTTTGCATCAATTACTGTCAGTTTGGCTTAGTTTTACACATTAAAGACCACAAGTAGGATTTCCCTGCTTAATCTCCCCTTGTGTTTTACTTTGTCTAATTAGCAAGTCTCCTTTCAAAGGCAGTGTATCTCCTCTCACTTAGAACTCAGTTCTTAACAGAGTGACTAATGCTAAAGATTTGGAGTCTGTCGTGTGCCTTTCCTGTCATCCTGGACAAATTCCCTAATTATCCCTCTGTGAAGTGGAGATAATAATAGAGGTTACTTCATAGGGTCATTATGAGGTAGTATATATGAAATGCTTGGTATTGCATTAGATAATAATAGAGTGTGCTAATAAAAATTACTTTATAGTGGTACTTATACTAGGATGTAGTACTGAGTAAATGGTATGATTATAGTTGATGTTACTATTTCTGCCTCTCTTCCTTGAGCATATCTTTCCCAGAGAAACTGTACTATGTTGGCTTCCTTAAGTGTAATGTTCAACAGGCTGCCTAGCTTTAATTTCATTCATACTGGATCCTCTAGTCAGCAAAAGGCTGTGCCATCATCACAGAGATCCCAAGTTGATGACAGTTGATATGTCTTGAATAATGAGAGGGAGCAAGGGCTTACATGGTTCAGCAACCTGACTACATCCTGGTCTTTTAGTGCCTCACATCCAAGGGGAGAGAACTAACACGCATCTCACTGGTTGCTGAAGGAGGCTGCTGTGTTATGGATGAACTTGTTAAACCTGACAACAAGATTGTGGATTACCTCACCAGGTATTTTTCATCCTGCCTCCAGCTCTTCCTATAGCTGTCAGGCTAGAGTCGAATGAGACTTAAAAGGAATAGCCTGTAGCCTCTGTTTGGTTTGGTGTTATTTACTTACATAATTATGAAAGAAAAGGCTGGAGTGCCACAGCTATAAATTTTAATACTGAAATTGCATAATGTTGGTATATAATGCGCTTACCCTTCTTGTTCTCTAATCTTCCTGTGACCTTAAGTCACCAGAATAATGTCTTCCTTGTCATTGAACCTGCCAGTTTTAATCATTATCTAGCAGCTGCCAAACAGCTTTGTCCTTTGATAAGACCTCATCTGAAAAATCTGCAAGTCATCATTTGGAAGTCAAATAATCTTAGAGCTTAATCTGCCTTGACCTCAAAAATCAAAACTTTTTCCATAACGGAACTTTGAGACTCAAAAATTGTGTCTGTCTTTCCAAAGATTAGCATGTATTTTCAGAATGTGCACACTATAGTGATTAGGCAAAGAAAAGCCAGTGAAACATCATTGTTTCTGTCCATTGTAATTGTACCTATCAATTCATGCTTATTTAGGCACAGAGAGATCATGATAGTTAATAAAGACTGTCCTGTTAGCAGACATGACAGACAGTATTCTTAGGAAACAGTCATGTGTGGCAAAGATGTATGTATCAGCAGGTTTGTCAGTGTTAGAAAAATACGGGAATATACAAGTCTGAAAGTAGGGGATTGGTTAAAATCTTATATTCATCTAATGGAGTATTCTAACCATTTAAAAGGATGTTCTGAAATAGATTTATTGATGTGAGAACTTGTTCATGATATATAACATGTTACAATCATGTTATAAAGTAGCATATGCATTATGATTGCATTTTTATAAATAATGAAGTATATACCAATATATATGTATCAAAGATACGAAAGGATATTTACTAAAACGTAAAAAGTGATCTCTTGGTGGTGGGACTATGGGCAGTTTTTAATTTCTTTGATTTTCATCATTTTTACATTTTAATTTAAGAAGAATTTTTTTGAAATGACTTTCCATTATTAATATCCTGGTGTGCCCATTTCTCTTTTTATATCGAAAGTTTTTCAGGAATCACCAAGAAGATTCTTAACCCAGTGACAACCAAACTCAAAGATGTACAGAGACAATTAAAAGCACTGCTTCCTCCCAATGCTATATTAGTGGGCCACTCCTTAGATTTAGATCTCAGAGCACTGAAAGTGAGTATCTGATTTAGCACTTAGCTTTTCTAGCATATGTGCCTCTTTCGTTTATTTCAAATCTACTTTCTATCCCCCAACCCACTTGTTTTTTCCTTTATAAAGGACTCTACTCATTCTGTTCTCTTTCCTCCTCAGATGATACATCCATATGTTATTGATACATCATTGCTTTATGTCAGAGAGCAGGGCAGAAGATTTAAGCTCAAATTCTTAGCTAAAGCTATTTTGGGGTAGGTAGGTTTGCATATAATGTTTTCCTGATAGATTGCGCATAAGTTAGCATGTTGTATCTTATTTAATGCATAGTGCAAAGTTCAGAGTCTCTGCTCTCCCTCTTAGTTTGTAAACATTACTATGAATTCTGGGATCCTAACACAAGAGAAGTATGACTCTGAAATGAAAAAATTGTGGGAATAGAAAAAGGAATTTTATTCACAGTTGAAAGCTGATGGGTAGAACTAGAGAGGGAGAGGCAGAAAAGTTACCCAAAATTTCAAAACATAACATTCCTATATTGACTGTATCCTCTTATGTACAAATGTATGTACAATGATGTTCACTATAGTATGGTTTAAAATAGTCCAAAAAGCTGCATATATTCTACTATTTAAATAAATTATAGTTATTTGTATCATTGATACTTTGTTATTGAATGTGATGGGTCTTTATGTGCTAATAAGGAAACTTCTTAAGATGCTACTGAGAATAAAATGGAGATGCAGAAAGCCATTCCTGATCATTGTACATCATCAGTACCTCTCAGTTCCTGGCACTAAGTAATAAAGAAATCATGATGTAACTCAAATCTGATTATTAGAGTGCTGAAATTTTACATGTAGCCAGAATATTTGGGGTGGTTGAAAGAATCTTATCATTAAAAATGCTCCCAGGTACGTTAATTTTACCTTTACTTTCCAGGAAGGATATACAGTGTTCAGATAGACTTGGTCATGATGCCACAGAAGATGCTAGAACAACCCTTGAGTTGGCTCGATATTTCCTTAAGTATGGCCCAAAGAAGGTTAGTATGTTTTCTTTCCTTAAAATTATGGGACTAGAACAGAGAGTCGCAGACCACCAATCTAATGCTATTACCTTTCTTTACAAAAATAGGAGTGTAATTCAAGCTGAACTATGTATTTGAAATTAAGACCTACATTAGTAGCATAATATAGTGGTTAAATTATAATAGTATTAGTCTCTGAAGTTGGACTTACCTCTTTTAAAATATGGACTGTCACAGGTCTGGCTATAGGATCTAGGGCAATTTCTCTGAACAACTAACTTCAGTTTCTAGATCTGTAAAATGGGAACACACTTTTCTGGGATATTGGTGAGGATAAAAGAGATACTATGCAGTATAAAGCTCTTAGCACAGTGCTTGAATATATTAAGCACCATAATGTGGTGTTCACCATTGTAGCTGATGCTAATAATTGTAATAATTATAAAAAATCTACGTAGATTTTTGCTTTTTTAGGGTGAGAGTCGCATATCATTGTTTCAACAGCAGTTCAACAGGCACAGATTAGAACAGCACATAATAAAGGAGGCATTGAAAAGGAAATAGTTTCTGACAGACCTGTTATAATGCATTCTAATCTGTTAGATTGTCCCATTGCATAATATTGTATATCATAACCCCATTATGAAACGAATTGTAGTCCATGTTGAATAATAAAAAGCCAGAATAGTATTTTGTGTCATGGTGGTAGAAAGACATTGTAAAATATTTTATTGGACATGCAAATAATAATGGCCACCATTTACTGAGATCTTACTAAGTGTACTATTCTAAAATGCTTTGTATACATTATCTTATCCTTATAGCAACCCTATAAATTCACTATTATTATTCCAATTTTTGTGTATGAGCATTCTGAGGTTTTTGAAAGGTTAGATAACTTACTGAGGGTTCTACAGTTAGTGCTGGAACCAGGACGCAAACCAAGGTCTGTCAGATTCTAAAGGCTGTCTTTGCTCTACGTTAGGAACTAGCAGACTTTTTCTGTAAAGGCCAAATAGTAAATATTTTAGGCTTTACAGGCCTTGCTATCTATTGTAGCTACTCAGCTTACTATTGGTACTGCAGAAGCAACCAAAACAGTATGTCAGTGAAAGGGCAAAGCTGTGTGCCAGTAAAACTTTATTTACAAAAAACAGGCATTGAGCTGGACTTGATCTAATGACTAGACTATGCCAGCCCCTACTCTAAGCCACTATGTTAGAGGTTCTAAAAAACTTGGTCTCAGGACCCATTTATCCTCAAAGAGCTTTATGTTTATGTGGGTCATATCTATCAACATTTATCATATTAGAAGTTACGTTTGAGAAAATTTATATTTATTGTATTTATTAATTTGTTAAAATATTTTTTAAAACCATTACATGTTAATACAAAAATTATGGAGAAAAGCCATTTTCAAAAAAATTTATAGTAAGAGCATCATATTTTTTACATATTTTGCAGATCTCCTTAATGTCTAGCTTACTAGGAGACAAGTGATTTTTCTCATATT